CCTTCGATCGGATTTGGCACAAAGCGCTGTAGTGTTATGCTACTTACATATCATTTTACACTATTTTAAATTTATTTTTCCATTCTGTTTTTGATTTTCTGCATTAGCCTCAAAACTGGATATTTTGCATCACCTTTATTTTCATAGGATCCTGTAACGTTTTTGAACCATAAGAACACAATAACAAATCATTTTCACATCGTATTTTCACGTTATCAGCACTTTTTAAATCGGTGTCAATGGAGTCTACCTTTTTCGGTATTTTATTTAGTTCTCCGTAACTCTGCAATTTCGGGCTTCGTGCGCACTGTTGCGCTACCTTTTTTTCATATATCAATAATATCTCATTTTTCACTTAAATCTTGCCGTTTCTCTATTACGAGCCTAAAACCAAAATTTGACATGTTTTGACATCGTTGTTTATCTGGTTGTCATGGCAATTTTTATTCAAATATCGTTACCGGCCTGATGTTTTTACTTCAAAAATACTCTTTTCTTCTTGGCCATTTACAAAAATTTGCTTTTAATTTAAATAATTTCAAATAATTTCTCGTTCTTATCCCAGATCCGTCAAAAAGTATAAAAGCCGAAGAATCGGCCAATAGAGGTTCTCACTTCAGCTTTGATACGAGAAGCACCTCTTAAAGGCTTTATCCGCACTGCCTCGGGATCTTGCAAGCCTCTGCCTTCTCCTGAAGTCGTCGCCTAGCCACGCCTACGCCTCCACCTATTAGTGCCCGCGCTATCTTCGGCCGCTGAGCGTGCTTGTCTCAAGCGCTGCGTGTTCCTACTCCAGACGCTGCGTGTCTCCGGCGCTCCGGGCGCTGTGTGTGTCTACTCCGGATACTGTGTGTGTCTACTCCGGGCGTTGTGTGTGCTTACTCCGAGCGGTGTGTGTGTGCCTACTCTAAGTGCTGCGTGTACCTGCTCAATACGCGGTGTGTACCTACTCCAGACGCTGCGTGGACCTACTCCAGACGCTGCGTGTCTACTCCAGGCGCTGTGTGTGTCTACTCCGGGTGTTGTGTGTGCTCATTCTGGTCTCTGTGTGTGCCTACTTCAAGCGCTGCGTGTACCTAGATTAGGCGCTGTGCATCTACCACAGGCATAGCCTGTACATACATTGTTTCCGTACTCATTTATCTTTATTAACTTTTATTTTTTTTTAAAAATTGTAATTCACTATCATCACTACAGCCCATCATCACCCTCATACCTTTTTTTTTTATAAAAAAAAAGCTATAAATATCTATTAAGCTGTAAATATCTTTACAATTTTTTAAATAAATTATTTTCTTTTTTGGTTGTTTCGTTGTTAGGTTAGGTTCTATAGTTTTTAATTGTGGCTTTACATTTTATAAAAGAAACTGTAAATATCTTTACAAATTTTAAATAAATTATTTTCTTTTTGGTTGTTTCGTTGTTAGGTTAGGTTCTTTAGTTTTTTAACTGTCGCTTCACGACAGCGCTTCTTTCGATGCTCCCTTCCTATGGGCTTCCCGAGGAATTGTGCGATTGGATCACCAGCTTTCTTGCAGATCGGAGCATCAAGGTCGTTGTAGACGGTGCAAGCTCCGATTGCAAGACTATTAATGCTGGTGTTCCACAAGGCTGCGTGCTATCGCCAACGTTGTTTCTTCTACATTTCAATGATATGTTACAAACTCGTAACATTCATTGCTATGCAGATGACAGCACTGGTGATGCTCTTTATACCGGCCGAGCCAATATTTCTCCGGAAAACGTCTCCGAGTGCCGGGACAAACTTGTGTCTGAAGTCGAGTCTGTGCTGAACAGAGTCTCGGATTGGGGGCGACTAAATCTAGTCCAGTTTAACCCCCAGAAGACACAAGTTCTCACGTTAACCCGCCGTTAAAAGAACCCCTTTGTCGTATCTCCTCAGTTTCAAGGCACTCCCCTTGTTGCCTCAGCCAGTATCGGAATCCTCGGCGTTGACATATCGAGTGACGTGCAGTTTCATGGTCACTTGGAAGGGTAGGCCAAATTGGCCTCTAAAAAGCTTGGCGTGCTCAGCAGAGCCGGACAGTATTTCATGCCGGCAGTCTACGTTCCCATCTCTGGGCTGGGGCTCCCCAGTATCAGCTCCTTCCACTTGACCGCATCCAGCGCAGAGCGGCTCGATTCACTGGCACTGCGAAGAGATGTTGCATCTCTTTGCATTTTCTTTCGCATATACCATGGAGAGTGCTCTGAGGAATTGTTCGGATTAATCCCAGCCGCCAAATTTCGTGAACGCACTACGCGGCAAACGTCCCGATACCATCCACACCATCTGGATGCTTGGCGGTCCACCACTGTACGTTTCAAAAGGAGTTTTTTTCCGCGTACAACCTCTCTGTGGAATAGTTTACCACCGGCGATTTTTTTCGGACCGATACGACCTGGGGACCTTCAAGAAAAGAGCTAACTCCTTTCTAAAGGGTGTTGCGGTTGATCATGGGTGGCGGTTGTCACTTAACATTAGGTGAGCCGCATGCTCGTTTGCTCCCTCTTCTATAAAAAAAAAAGACTGGTGAAAAGCCGTGAGAGTCCTAATATATAAGGGAAAGGGCGCAGCAGGACTGTAAAAACTACCGTGCTATCAGCCTTCTTAGCATTGTGGGAAAACTGTATGCTAAGGTACTAACTGAAAGAGTCATGAAATAAATTGATGGATAAATTTCGGATGTGCAAGCGAGATTTAGAAAGGTAATGCCTTTTGTACGCCGATGATTAAATTATTTTTGGTCGTTGATGACCGAGTTGCAAATGATGTTTACATTAATGAACAGTTCTTTAAAAGAAAGGGGTGTGAAAGTGAACGTAAGTAAGATGAAAATTATGGTTTTTGAAAGAGAAGAAAGTAAAATAATATGTGAAATAAGAATAGAACGGGAGTAGGTCGAGCAAGTAGATGAGTTTGTATATTTGGGATGTGTTTCTGCAGGGATATGATAAGGATACAGAACGACGAGTGAACGAAGGAAATAAAGTAAATGGCGTCCTACACTTTATTGTAAAAAGTCATAATGTGTCCAAACAGGCACGTATGGCAATTCACAATGCTATGCTGGTCTCTACTTTAACGTATGGTAGTAAGAGTTATGTGTGGCAGAAGAAGCACGAGAGTAGAATAAATGCAGTAGAAATGCGTCCCTCCTATTACACGGGGGAGGGCTATGTTCAGCAAAGGACTTTTATAGGCTGTAATGAATTAATGAAATAAAGCATTTACTGACTGACACTAAGAACATAATTAATAAAATATATTATTTTAACCGCTCACTACGGATTCTAAGAAACAGTTTTTAAATGTGAAAAATAATTTTATAACATATTTGGAATTATATTACTAAGCGACTCGTCGTTTCGGTTCCTCATTTTTTTACCGAGGTACTGGTCTGCAGAACCAGTTCTGTTCAGATACTAAAAGAACGGGGATGTAATTTTAGAACCGGGAATTAACGGGTGCATGTTTGCAGCCAATGAAAATTTAGAAAATAATACAACATAAAACAACAACATTTTATTTACATGAGTTAATAACGTTCATAATTTTTGACTATAAGGTTTTTACATTACACATATAATTTGTTTTCTGTTTTAAATTTCGAAATACATTGCAGTTATTGATCGAATCCATAAAAAGATAGTTTGTACAGAAATTTTGGGATTTAATTACTCATTAATAATACTTAGTCGGGTCATAAGTTCTGTCAAAACCGTATTATTTAAAATTATTGAATTCTCGCTTGCTGGACTTCACCAATTTTAAAAATATAACGTGTGCGCTTGCCGAAAATAAAATAGACATTAATTTTCATTCATTTTCAAATATGGAGTGGTTGAAGAAATAAGATAGAGTAGTGGTTATCGCGTTGCATCGCTGTGGTTACCCGCAGAAAGAGATTTTCAATATTCTACAAAAATTGAAAATAACCCTACGATTTGTTTATCGCACTACTAAACGATTCACTGAAGATTCAAGCTTCGAAGATCGTAAGAAGACCGCCAGACCTCGTACAGTCGATTATCAAAGCAGTGAAGGCGCGAATCCAACGAAATCCTGTTCGTAAACAAAAAATCTCAGCTCTTCAGATGGGCCAGGCAGAACCACGGTCAAAAGAGTGATCAATGAAGACCTGAGACTGCGAGCCTATCGTAAGAAGACCGGACATTTCTTGTTACGGCGCTTTATTACGGCGGTACGCAGGAAAAAAATACCGCGAAATTTTGTTTTTGGATGAAAAAATAGAATTGACTTTATCGGACATGAAGACTGTTTCTCTTCTAGTCCAGATTTAAACCTACTGGATTATAAGATATGGCAACATTTGGAGGAGAAAGTTTGCCCTAAACCTCATCAGAATTTGCAATCTCTTCGAGCATCTTTGGCTAAAGCAGAGGCAGAAATAGATGTGAGTGTGGTGCGTGCTGCGATTGATAGATAATTGACCGCGTCGATTAAAGGGTATTGGTCGATTAATGTATTCAAAATAGGGGAGGGCATTTTGAATAATGTGAATAAAATTAAATTTTCAATTAAATTACCTTTCATTTCATATATAATTTCTATATAATTATCGAAAAGTGTATCATTAATTTTATAAAAAGCTTTTGACAGAACTTATGACCCGACTAAGTATAATATAAGTTGTAATATTATAACAACAACCATTTTATAGACAAAGATAAAAATTAAAGTAATATTATTTTAATTTGTTTTCTATTAAACTTTTTGTTACAAAGAAAATGATTTATAGATAACTAAAATGATACGGTGTATAAAATTGTACGTGTATCTACTTACTTTCTACATTCTGTATTTGTACGTTTTATTTATTATTACGAGAATGACTGATGAGAGAAAATGTTCAACGCTTTACTCGAAAGACTGATTTCTACTTTACTTCATCTAAGTTTCTACTAAATTCATTAAACACAAATTTGTATCATTCATTCTATTTCCTTATAAAAAAAATTGTCACTGACATTTCGCATTAGTCCATTATACTGCAATTTCTTTCTGTCGGCATTCTCTTCAAACGTTCGGAGGTTTCTCTTTCTATACGCTCTAAACGATCCAAGGCTTTGGCTGGGTCCATACTCTGAGGTCTTTCATTAAAATTTATCTCGATTTCAATTCTGTGAAAACATTTTAATTAGGGTAATACAAAATGTTCTTGCTAAAATCATTTTTGAATTACATTACCCAATTTGATTATCATATAGAGATTTAATATACTCGTAGTATTCTATAATACATTAAATTATTCAATTCTTTAATTTAATATATTAAAATCTTAAATTATATTATTTATTCCTTTTCATGTCCTAAAGAGAGTCGTTATTCATTTTATTGCAGTACTGGCAATGATCGCTACTATTTATTATAAAATATTTATATATAAGCCCGAGGGTAATATTTTAATAATGTCTATAATCAAAGCTGAATACTAATAATATGTAACCCGACAGATAAATCGAAGTAGAACATCCAGTTAATGCACCTTTGCCGATAGTTTTATAGTGTTATTAAAGTACAACGCCAATATTGATCCAACACATTTGTTGTGACGATAAATAAATATGTCGGTCCGACCTAACCTAACCAAACCTGTAATGATATTACAATAAAATGAATGACGCTTCTCTGTCTTAACAGATTTGAGACATCTTAGGAAACAACACTTTATTTTTAGGTAGGTAATATTTTATTACGTATTTTTTATCAGCACCAGGAAAGACACAATTTCAAAATTAAATTTACTCTCGAATTCGCCAAAAATGAACATGCGCTATAGATATTATGTGTATAATTACATTATATAATTATTAATTATATTATATAAAATTTAAGATACAAACGAGACTTTTATATCAAAAAGTCTCCTTTGTCAATATGGTACCTAGTTATTATACTAACTTTTTCTTACTTATTAAGTTTTTTTTTTAAATACAAGTCACGTACAAGAAGAGTTAATACATGTATATATAATAGACTTTTTAATACACTTCTAATATAATGTTTCTACAAGATCTAGTAAACATACTAAAAGTTACGTATTTAATACATAGTTGACATTCTAGGTTAAATAAAATCATGAAGTTCTTGGCAATTTTTTGACCATAGCGAAGGAACCTACAAATTGCGCAGAATTATATTATGTTAATGTATAATATGATAACATATCATTATCATTATATTGACCGGCTGTGTGGATTATTGCTGATACGATAAAATAAATACAATGTATAGTACCTAAATAAAGTGCGTGCAGGCCTAGCGGCTTTTTGTCCACCATTAATTTGCCTAATTTGTTCAAAAAATTAGTGCAAAATGCGATCAATATAGAATAAATATCAAAGAATATCTTGTCAAAATATAATACTTACTTAGTATAATGTCTATAATCACAAAATTTTATATCTTACATTTATCTACTTTACATTACTTTATTAATAGATAGGTAAGTATGTACGTAATCTCTTATCACACCACAATGAATAATTGGTGTGATAACTAAATACAAAACACACACAACGCACACATTTACATTATTCAATAATAGATAATGTTATATAAGATGAAATCGAGAAACGTTTACAATGGATGGCATTACAAAATTGCTTATTTTATACATCATTAAAGTTCTTTGTACTTCGTTAGCTACATGCTTATACGACAACTTTCCATTCTTTTCAAATAAAGAACGTCACTCATACCCGGTTTCTTCTCTAAACTTGACCCAGTCTTCGTGGCTCGGTGCTCGAGGGATCTCTGCCGCTATTGCTCGACACGCGTCTTCCATTGTACGCCCAACAGTTTCTAACTGTGCATCTGTACAGAGTGAACATAAAATCGTCTATTAGGTTGACAACATTCTAATATGAATCGTGTTGTCGATTCTTGACAATTTTCTCTATAAAATTTATATTTTTTATTATACTAGTAGGTTGGTAGATTATAACATGTTTCTGACGAAATCAAATACAAATTAACTTGTAAATTTTGAGGTAATGTGTGTTTTACTTTCGAAGTTTTTAAATTATTTGTATACTACAAAAAAGTACTAGGTACATGATGTTAGTTTTGTGTATTGTTAATAATTATCTTTGTAGTGCATTCCAGCACACTATTAGAAATTTGTTTATTAGTATATAGCATGGCATAATATCTTACAATAATAGGTATCATGGAATAAAACAGATTTTATCGCGTTCAATATGTTCAGGATCATCCTATGTTACTACACCCTATCATCATTATGATATTTGGTAGACTACCAAGGATGATTCGCGAGGCTAGTGAAACTTAAAAAAATATCCTTATTTCAATAGAGAAGATGGCTGGTAAAATTAAATCCAAATCCAAGCAAAATTTCGAGATACTATATAAGCTCGTTCTGCGTAGATTAGACAAAAATTAATAATTACAGTTGAAGGTAGCCTTACATACCACAAAGAAGCTGGCTTGGAAGTATAACCGCTCAGATAAATGAATAAGTGCACTAAATTGCTCACTAATTGCTCAATTCAAATCCGCATTTGCTCACACTATTAATGAATTATTTTATTAATTATTAATAATTAAAAATACAAAATTGTTATTGCCTTAAAACCAAAGAACATTTTCAAAAATGAATAAGTACTCTTAATTGCTCACAAAATGCCTAACCGTAATACGCAATTGCTCAAACTATTTACTAATTATTTAATTAGTAATTAATAATTAAAAGTACAAAAATTTTTATTCCTTAACCGATCATAATATTGAATAGGTGCACAAAATTTCTCACTAATTTCTCATTTCAAATCTGCAATTGCTCACAATATTTATTAATTATTTTATTAGTTATTAATAATTAAAAATACAAAATTGTTATTGCCTTAAAACCAAAGAACTTTTTTAAAAATGAATAAGTATTCCTAATTGCTCACAAAATGCCTAACCGTAATACGCAATTGCTCAAACTATTTACTAATTATTTAATTAGTAATTAATAATTAAAAGTAAAAAAATTTTTTTTTCCTTAACCGATCATAATATTGAATAGGTGCACAAAATTGCTCACCAATTGCTCATTTCAAATCTGCAATTGCTAACAATATTTATCAATTATTTTGTTAGTTATTAATAATTAAAAATACAAAATTGTTATTGCCTTAAAACCAAAGAACTTTTTCAAAAATGAATAAGTACTCCTAATTGCTCACAAAATGCCTAACCGTAATACGCAATTGCTCAAACTATTTACTAATTATTTAATTAGTAATTAATAATTAAAAGTATAAAATTTTTTTATTCCTTAACCGATGTGATTGCTCATTTCAAATCTGCAATTGCTCACAATATTTATCAATTATTTTATTAGTTATTAATAATTAAAAATACAAAATTGTTATTGCCTTAAAACCAAAGAACTTTTTCAAAAATTATTAAGTAATCTTAATTGCTCACAAAATGCCTAACCGTAATACGCAATTGCTCAAACTATTTACCAATTATTTAATTAGTAATTAATAATTAAAAGTATTATTTTTTTATTCCTTAAGCGATCAGAATATTGAATAGGTGCACAAAATTGCTCACTAATTGCTCATTTCAAATCTGCAATTGCTCACAATATTTATCAATTATTTTATTAGTTATTAATAATTAAAAATACAAAATTGTTATTGCCTTAAAACCAAAGAACTTTTTTAAAAATGAATAAGTACTCCTAATTGCCCACAAAATGCCTAACCGTAATACGCAATTGCTCAAACTATTTACTAATTATTTAATTAGTAATTAATAATTAAAAGTACAAAATTTTTTATTCCTTAACCGATCATAATATTTATTAGGTGCACAAAATTGCTCACTAATTGCTCATTTCAAATCTGCAATTGCTCACAATATTTATCAATTATTTTATTAGTTATTAATAATTAAAAATACAAAATTGTTATTGCCTTAAAACCAAAGAACTTTTTCAAAAATGAATAAGTACTCCTAATTGCTCACAAAATGCCTAACCGTAATACGCAATTGCTCAAACTATTTACTAATTATTTAATTAGTAATTAATAATTAAAAGTACAAAATTTTTTATTCCTTAACCGATCAGAATATTGAATAGCTGCACAAAATTGCTCACTAATTGCTCATTTCAAATCTGCAATTGCTCACAATATTTATTAATTATTTTATTAGTTATTAATAATTAAAAATACAAAATTGTTATTGCCTCAAAACCAAAGAAATTTTTTAAAAATTAATAAGTACTCCTAATTGCTCACAAAATGCCTAACCGTAATACGCAATTGCTCAAACTATTTACTAATTATTTAATTAGTAATTAATAATTAAAAGTATAAAAATTTTTATTGCTTAACCGATCAGAATATTGAATAGGTGCACAAAATTGCTCACTAATTGCTCATTTCAAATCTGCAATTGCTCACAATATTTATCAATTATTTTATTAGTTATTAATAATTAAAAATACAAAATTGTTATTGCCCTAAAACCAAAGAACTTTTTTAAAAATAAATAAGTAATCCTAATTGCTCACAAAACGCCTAACCGTAATACGCAATTGCATGAACCATTTACTAATTATTTAATTAGTAATTAATAATTAAAAGTACAAAATTTTTTATTCCTTAACCGATCAGAATATTGAATAGCTGCACAAAATTGCTCACTAATTGCTCATTTCAAATCTGCAATTGCTCACAATATTTATCAATTATTTTATTAGTTATTAATAATTAAAAAAAAAACAAAATTGTTATTGCCTCAAAACCAAAGAATTTTTTTAAAAATTAATAAGTACTCCTAATTGCCCACAAAATGCCTAACCGTAATACGCAATTGCTCAAACTATTTACTAATTATTTAATTAGTAATTAATAATTAAAAGTACAATTTTTTTATTCCTTAACCGATCATAATATTGAATAGGTGCACAAAATTGCTCACTAATTGCTCATTTCAAATCTGCAATTGCTCACAATATTTATCAATTATTTTATTAGTTATTAATAATTAAAAATACAAAATTGTTATTGCCTTAAAACCAAAGAACTTTTTTAAAAATGAATAAGTACTTCTAATTGCTCACAAAATGTCTAACCGTAATACGCAATTGCTCAAACTATTTACTAATTATTTAATTAGCAATTAATAATTAAAAGTACAAAATTTTTTATTCCTTAACCGATCATAATATTTATTAGGTGCACAAAATTGCTCACTAATTGCTCATTTCAAATCTGCCATTGCTCACAATATTTATCAATTATTTTATTAGTTATTAATAATTAAAAATACAAAATTGTTATTGCCTTAAAACCAAAGAACTTTTTCAAAAATGAATAAGTACTCCTAATTGCTCACAAAATGCCTAACCGTAATACGCAATTGCTCAAACTATTTACTAATTATTTAATTAGTAATTAATAATTAAAAGTACAAAATTTTTTATTCCTTAACCGATCAGAATATTGAATAGCTGCCCAAAATTGCTCACTAATTGCTCATTTCAAATCTGCAATTGCTCACAATATTTATTAATAATTTTATTAGTTATTAATAATTAAAAAAAAGAATATTGTTATTGCCTCAAAACCAAAGAATTTTTTTAAAAATTAATAAGTACTCCTAATTGCCCACAAAATGCCTAACCGTAATACGCAATTGCTCAAACTATTTACTAATTATTTAATTAGTAATTAATAATTAAAAATATAAAAATTTTTATTCCTTAACCGATTACAATATTGAATAGGTGCACAAAATTTCTCACTATTTGCTCATTCAAATCTGCAATTGCTCACAATATTTATTAATTATTTTATTAGTTATTAATAATTAAAAATACAAAATTGTTATTGCCCTAAAACCAAAGAACTTTTTTAAAAATAAATAAGTAATCCTAATTGCTCACAAAATGCCTAACCGTAATACGCAATTGCTCAAACCATTTACTAATTATTTAATTAGTAATTAATAATTAAAAGTACAAAATTTTTTATTCCTTAACCGATCATAATATTGAATAGCTGCACAAAATTGCTCACTAATTGCTCATTTCAAATCTGCAATTGCTCACAATATTTATTAATTATTTTATTAGTTATTAATAATTAAAAAAAAAACAAAATTGTTATTGCCTCAAAACCAAAGAAATTTTTTAAAAATGAATAAGTACTCCTAATTGCTCACAAAATGCCTAACCGTAATACGCAATTGCTCAAACTATTTACTAATTATTTAATTAGTAATTAATAATTAAAAGTACAATTTTTTTCCTTAACCGATCATAATATTGAATAGGTGCACAAAATTGCTCACTAATTGCTCATTTCAAATCTGCAATTGCTCACAATATTTATCAATTATTTTATTAGTTATTAATAATTAAAAATACAAAATTGTTATTGCCTTAAAACCAAAGAACTTTTTCAAAAATGAATAAGTACTCCTAATTGCTCACAAAATGCCTAACCGTAATACGCAATTGCTCAAACTATTTACTAATTATTTAATTAGTAATTAATAATTAAAAGTACAAAATTTTTTTATTCCTTAACCGATCAGAATATTGAATAGGTGCACAAAATTTCTCACTAATTGCTCATTTCAAATCTGCAATTGCTCACAATATTTATTAATTATTTTATTAGTTATTAATAATTAAAAAAACAAAATTGTTATTGCCTTAAAACCAAAGAAATTTTTTAAAAATTAATAAGTACTTATAATTGCCCACAAAATGCCTAACCGTAATACGCAATTGCTCAAACTATTTACTAATTATTTAATTAGTAATTAATAATTAAAAGTACAAA